CGCAGAGGAGACAGGAAGGCCTCCGTCATAACCGGCACTGCTAACATGCGGATCATGTCACCGGCAGGATCCATGAGACCGGTCTTGCACACGTCAATAACATTAGGTCCGACCTGACGGAAGAAGCCGCAAATGGACAGATCACCTCGAACGCGATCCGACAGCTTCGGGATCTGTGGGAAGTCGATTGAGTGCAGGAAATGGTAACCGGCACGGTCTCCGTTGCTCATTCTTGCGAAACCAGTGCATTCAAGGTAGACGTAGTCACGGTTCTGGACGACACCTGTCCGGCGTAGCGGGATATCCATCTCCATCCACTTGACCACGACGGACGTGAACGGTTCCTCCTCCGTGGGGCTCACGATCGTCGAGAGCACGGCGGCACCGTCGAAGTCGTGCACGTATGAAGCCTTGATGCGCATGTCCTCGAGTGTAGGATTCACGACGCCGTACATCATATCGTCCAGTTTGCCTTCAACGCGGCCAACGGACAGGATGGCCGGCAGCTTTGTTGAGCTTGCGTTGCTCATCGCGTCATCTCCGACATATTCCGGACGCTCCGTGTACACTTTCATGCGTTCGCGCTCTTTGGAGAGCTTCCATCGGTTCGGGTCGACCTTGCGGCCACCTTTGAAGAACGGGTTGTCACGCTCGAAATTGGCCTCGATAATGGTGCGCCCCAGTTCGAGGAGTTGGTCCTTCTCGTCATCCGTGAGGGCTAACGCCGGAAACGGGTTAATGGTGAATCGCTCCTTGCCCATTGCCGACAGATATCGCTACTAAGAACCTGATCGTTGCTTTATCGGTAGCGGTGTGGAAGAAACGAGAATGATCGAGGCCTGTCGATCCTGCGGTGGACGAGTGGCGACAAGGCCAGCTCTTACTAGTATGATACTAGTAGTATCTGTCATTGACCGACATAGTTCGACAGGTACGCAACGTGCACGAAACGTACGATTTGCAATAAGCGATGCTGAAGTGAGTGTCGTCTCAACAGGTGTCCGAATTGACTATCCCTCGACGTCTTCACGTGATGCCGCAAGATCACCGTGTTTTTGCTGCGCGCAAGCATTTGCCAGCGCAATCGTTGAGCGGACAACTGATCCTTCGTCGGAAACCCAGCGCTACCATACTGCCAAGCGGTGTCTGTACACATTGAGGACCTCTCATGGTTGAAAACTGAAGCACTGAGTTCCACCGCACCCGTCCATTTGTTCGTCAACTTGTCGAGCAGAGCTCGAGATCACTTAACAAGTTGGCGTGCAAGGTTTGTTGCGTTTGCATTGACTTGGGGGCAGTGAAACGCAACATGTTCGGGTTCCGACAAAACTACGACCGAGATGCCAGGTCGGTCAGAACCGGAGCAGCCTGTAAACAGCACGGGTGGCTGGCTGCGCGGTAGTTGACAGCTCAAAGCCGGACAACCAAAGGGGTCGACGGTTGTATTCCTAACATGAGTGACTCATGGGTCATGGAAACTCTCACACAAGTGCTACATGTATTAATCGTGCCTGCTCATCAGAGTTTGCCTTTGACACACCTGTAAAGGTAACGCGAGATACACCTGCTGCGTTCACGTGCACTAGCACTTCCGAGTCGTGATGTGGTAGTGAAATCCAGCTTGCACTGTGCTGTCCACCGAGTCGATCACAATCTGCGTGTCTTCCTTTCCACCCGCTTTCTTCACAGCAGTAATCGCACTGTTGACTCGGAAGTTGGTCGAGGCTCCACATGGAGTCCACACGACAGCACTCACACCAACCTCATGCGAGATGAATAGGTCCTTGTCTGTGCCTGGAGAGTATTTCTCGGACGCAACGGGGCCGCGTTGTCCAGCGAAATAGTACTCGGCGTCGAACTGTCCGTACGAACCGCTCTGATTCGGCACGAATGCATTACCGCGGTAGTCCACGCGGAAGATGCCGATGGAAACGCCCTAGACGATGCAGACAACACCGTCAATGTACTGAATAACGTACTAGCTGATCGACGCCACTTACGCTTTGGACGTCGACGGGTACTGCCAGGTTACATGATTTCCGGTCGCGCGTCACGTCGACGCCAGACGTACGCGCCGCGAACTGTGAGAAGAGCACAGAAACTGCCTGGCCGTCCGTGGAGGGCACCACCGTCACCGTGTTGGCAGGGCAGCCGGAACCAAAGAAGGTTGGCGTGCCAAACTTGAATGCTGGCTCTGTCGACCAGCCAGCAGGAGGAACTTGGATCGCAGATTCCGGCGTCGAGGTACTACCTGACGCCGTCAAATCTGCGCAAACGGAAGCAACGGAGGCGCACAGCTCAGCAAGAAAGGCCAAGATGTACATCAAAATGTTGAGCTGGAAAGAGGGAGAATTGTAAAATGAGCATTATTCGCGCACGCTCACCGCTGTTGGTATACTTCGACGCTCAGTGTCATCTCCGGACTTTGCTTGCTGGAGCTCACGTTCGACAAGTAGATCTTCGATGTTATCAGATATCAAAAGACCGCTTGGGCTTGGCGTGCAGGCAAGGGTTGACGCCAATGGGATCCCGGCGATATCGATGGCGAGCGACTACCTAGGCTATCAGCCGCCTCTTTGCTTTCCGGCCATTTGAGGTCGCTGATTCACGATGCTTTTGTCTTCCTTAGTTGCAAAAAAGTCGGTGGGGCATGAGCTTTCGAAGCACAAGTGCTCGTTCGTGACCGGGTGAGTGAATGACAGCTTGGCAGCATGCAAACAAAGGCGCGAAGCACGGTGATACACCAGTTCCGGAGAATACAGTGAGTCGCCCAAGATGGGATACCCGAGGTGCTGCATGTGCAGTCGAAGCTGGTGGGTTTTGCCGGTAATCGGTTTGAGTTCTACCATCGTAGCCTTTGCATCTTCCTCAGTGTCATCCCCACCAGAATCAGTTGTCCGAGACTGCACAGAATATTCAGTGACTGACCAGAGCGAGCTTGATGAATCAACTTCACGGTCAGAAACAACATGTTGGACAAGCGGCTGGGTCGGGTGTTTCTCCATAGGGAGACGTACGCGCCTCGGTGACTCAGATCCGTCTTCTTGATCATTTATCCATCCATGCACACGCGCCACGTATGTCTTTTCAACCGATCGATCTCGAAACTGAGCGTTTAAACTCTGTGCTGCGGACTTGGTCAGAGCGACGACAAGTAAGCCCGACGTCTCCTGGTCCAGACGATGCACCATACGCGCTTCTGGATACACACTCGCAATACAGCGATGGACTGACACCGGGGCGTCAGAGTTGGTGCCGTCCACACTCAGTACATTGGCAGGTTTGTCCACTACAATAACCGAGTCGTCTCGAAAGAGGATCTTCAACGGTAGTTGAGACGTCAGCGCCTTGTCGGCTGCGTCATGACTACTGCACTCGGCGAACTCGCGAATCTGCATTAGAATCCGATCGGGCATCGCGCCCAGCGCAATGTCCTCCTCCTCAGGAAGCCACACACGAATTATATGCCGATAATGTCCTTGTTTCAGCTCTCGCTTGAACGCATTGATAGACAGCTCCGCCAGTTTTTGTGGATTGTCGACGACCAAAATCTCGTTTACTGTCGACTCAGATTTCGCGTGTACGGTGACGACCCCCGCCTTCCTACAGCTGAAGAAAAGCCTGAGAGCTAAGTCCGAGCTGCTAACGCTTCCTAGCGGCTGCAACCTGGGCAACCGCTTGAGTTTGTCCAGTCCAAGACTGCGAATTTGGTCGGAGACGTCAACTTCTGCGGTTTCACCCGATGCAAACGCGTCCGCTGGTAACTGCAGCATCTTCAGTACTGCAGCGATCAGTCGATGCAGCTCCCGGGTCGCTTCGGTCGGCATGGCGTCCGTGGAGACAGCGTCGCGTTTACGCTTAGTGCCCATAGTCGTAATTGCTGTTAAAGGAGAAATGTGCTCTTCCTGACCAATCGTAGCGCATTTTTTTTCTCATAAAGAGAAGCTACAGGTGAGAAGCTTCCGCTCGCCAACTGTATGTTGACGGAGACGAGATGATTACAATAGAAACAAACGAGATCTCCGGTGCAGCCATCGACAGCGGCGACAGTGACTTGCTCTGCGTCTTAGCGGTCGTTTGTGCATGTGAATGCTCTCTCGTCTTCCACCTCAGACGTGGTGTAAATGCAACAGGAGTGTATGCAAACTCGTAATTTATTATCGCTACTTACTATGTGGATGATATTCACACTACATGGACATCTTAGACAATTGGGTCATATCTGAGCTTGACGACGAATGACTCGTCATTGAGCGGATGATACCGCTCTTGCGTCCGTTCTCCATGATTTGATACGACGCGATCTCCACCGCACTCGAGATTGATGCCTCGGCGAGGCACGCCGTGCAGAAATTAACCTTGCGCTCCGAGAGCGTCAGATCCGCTGTCACCAGACTGATCTTCTTCTTGATCTTACAGCTACTACACAGCGCACGGAAGCAGCACTTGCACGTCGTCGCGCTCTTGCCCAGCGTCCAGCCGGTGGAGGGTTTGCCGCAGCTCACACAGGCAGAGCCTGGGTTCGGAGCACCGTGTAGTCGCGCTTCAGCGTGAGCCTTCTCCATCTTCCACGTGAGTTTCCGCATCTGACCGCAGTGCACGTAACGCAGAGGAGACAGGAAGGCCTCCGTCATAACCGGCACTGCTAACATGCGGATCATGTCACCGGCAGGATCCATGAGACCGGTCTTGCACACGTCAATAACATTAGGTCCGACCTGACGGAAGAAGCCGCAGATCGAGAGATCACCTCGAACGCGGTTCGACAGCTTCGGGATCTGTGGGAAGTCGATTGAGTGCAGGAAGTGGTAACCTGCGCGATCGCCATTAGCCATACGCACAAAACCTGTGCATTCCAGGTAGACGTAGTCGCGGTTCTGAACGACACCCGTGCGACGTAGTGGGATATCCATCTCCATCCACTTGACCACGACCGAGTTGAACGGCTCGTCCACAGTCGGCTCTACGATCGTCGAGAGCACGGCGGCACCGTCGAAGTCGTGCACGTATGAAGCCTTGATGCGCATGTCCTCGAGCGTAGGATTCACGACGCCGTACATCATGTCGTCCAATTTGCCTTCAACGCGACCGACAGAGAGAATGGCCGGTAGTTTGGACGACGAGTGCATGGTGTTGCTCATAGCGTCTGCACCCTTGTATTCGGGGCGCTCGGTGTGCACGAACATGTGTTCGCGCTCCTTGGAGAGTTTCCAGCGACGGTGGTCAACTTTGCGGCCGCCTTTGAAGAAGGCATCGTCACGCTCGAAGTTGGCCTCGATGATAGTGCGTCCCAACTCGAGGAGCTGGTTCTTCTCGGCATCGGAGAGCTCCAGCGCTGGGAACGGATTAATGGTGAAGCGTTCCTTGCCCATGACCGAGATGTTTCGGTGTCTGTATCTGCTGCCAGCGAGCGAAGAAGGAGAATGAGCGCCACGAAATGGGGCGATCACAGCGACTGCAACGCAAGATCAAGAGACCGCCTCCACTGGCGCACGATTTGTTTCATTGTGAGCAGAGACGCCGCTGTCTACTGGTACTTCATAGCGAGGCTTGTGAGTGACAAGTACATACCCCCGAACGGATGGCACTCGTGTCTGAGCCCTCTGTGGCCACGTCACACGCAAGCTAAATGGAAGCCAAGCAAGCGCTGCGGACTCCGCAGTGCGGAGACGTTGCCCGCAGCTTCCTGACCACTATGCTGGAGTCTGGCAGATGAATCCACGGGGAGGCGCACCAAGCTGAAGTGCTACCGGCAGTGAAGTACTGGCACAAGTGCGATCGCTTCAACAGGACGTCAATATCTCTGTCATATTAAATATCCTGAATTATCAGAAAGAATAAGTTACGAAATAAATCGTAAAAACATACAGCCAAGTACCTGTCAAATACAATACTACATGTTTAAAGGACACGCTCTTTTGGCAATAATTGAGTGTCTCCACCTGGCCCATGTACGTGGTGCTCTTGCTCGCGCTTTAAGTAACACAACGCATGTGAGCTTTGGGCTGTGTTCACGCACAGCAAAGCAGACGGTGGTAACCCGCAAACACATTCGGACGTCCTAAAATGCGTGGGGACTGCCCGGCATCTGTCGGCTATTGCTTCGGATGTGAGCTTGCGCGTCGTGTGATTTCGCGCGTCCGACGTTGGTATGTTTGACATCACATGATCGAGGAAACAGAAAGTATGCGGACACGAAAGTCTTGGTCAGCGTCAAAGGGCCTTCATTTTCTATCAGCGATCGACGAGGCACATTGCCAGCTCTGTGAGCTGATTGATCTCTGTGGTGCCATCGCTTAGCTTGGTCTTGACATCTCACCTCAAGACTTGACGCATCTATCTCTAAAGCGACCGTATCGCATACCGGTAGTCGTCAATGTCTCGAGCAGCAAGGGCAACACTTCGAGCAAGCAACAAACGCCTTGGCCGTTATCAACTTGGCCCTGTCTGTAGTTCGCATTACATCTACAAACTTCAGACTTCACACCCAGATATCTGGAAAGGTATCCAGTATCGATTCTATCGACGGAAACATGCGATTCGTAGACCAAAGAGGCATCGGAACACCCTCGCAAGCTTTGATTGCGATTCGCCCGACTCACAAGGAGGCCTACTGCAGCTCTTGGTGACCAAGAGCAAGTTGGTTCTGTTCGACCTCTGCCTTTCCCGCCACCTTCGCTGCTTTGACGTTGGCCACTGCACCTTCAATAAGCCCCACATACTCGTCAGACAGCGAGGACACGCGTGCGAGAGTCAAGGCGCGCTGTAGCGTATTCCCGGCCTCATTCCAGCGTTTGTTCGCCACCAGCAGCTGTGAGTAGTTGAAAAGTACCCCTGGAATCTCCCGATCGAGCGCCGCGAGGTCCACAGCCTGACTCTTTGACGCCTTCGACAGCTCTCGTCTCCCTCGGTTCTGGTCGTACGCGTTAATCGCCTGTTTGAAATACCTCTCCGCAGTCTTGACGTGTCCCCTAATGGAGTGAGCCAGTGAGTGGTCAACTTCCCTTTAAGCTGGGTGATCGAACTCTACGCAGACGCACCTGTTCTCGTAGGACTGTGCGATACGGTCGAGTGTGACCACCCGGTTCCGCTCCCTCGTGGCGACGTTCATCTCGCGCGAATTGTGTTCCAACGCATCGAGGTAGTAGTTTGTTGCAGGCGTACCTCTACCCAGTGACTCATACTGCGCAGCAATAGAGAACGCCAACTCAAACAAGTGCCGATCTGACAAAGGGTTCGATAACATGCGTCATTAGTCCAAAAACCTTCCCAGAAACCATCGAGATCCCTTCGTACCGTGAGGGTTGGTATCTTTGATGACGTCGTAAGCATGCAGACAATGCTTCAGCGCCTGCTTCGGGTCCCCCTAAAGAGCTCAAGAGGTATCGACTGTCAAACACTGACCTCCGATGCACAGAACACCAGGCATCCTCACCTCCTTAGCGCTCTGCTCTGCTTGCTTGACCAACCGCTCGACTTGCTTCACTGGAGCACCTTCACGACTCTCCACAAATATAATCGTTCAGTCTTCTTGTTCTCTTCACGGTAAACTCCTTCAGCCAATGTACCTGGTAGAAGTGGACGCCTGTAACTCCAGCCGCCAGCATGAACGCCAACAGAGCGACCTCCTTCTTCACCCAACGCTTGAAGTCCGTCTTGAGCGCTTCGTCGGGGCCCCTCGCTGCATTTGCAAAGGTTCGAGAGGAGAACAGAGTGCGAGCGGGGGTGGCTCCAACACGCCGCAGCAATTGACGCGAAAAACGTGCCGCCATCTTATCAGCGATAAAGTACTTGAATACCGATCCTCCCTCCTGATCAGCGGTAATTTCAGTATTGTGGGGTATTTAGTTCACAAGGTCTTTAAACCAGTACACCGGTATTTTGCTACAAGTATTTCTTCCCAGAGGTAGTACCGATGAAGACCAAATACCGACGAAGACCAAATATCTTTTGGTGAGCCGATAGCACTCGGTTAGAATCCGAAAATAAATCCTAAAAATTGATTCCTTAGTTTTGAACTGTGCAAAATAATTGAAATATTTATATTATATTTTAGCCACAATGGAGCAATAATAATCATTATATAACATTTCTATTAATTTTTATTGACGTTCGAAATAAAAATCTGAAACCGGTTGGAATCGATTCTTATGATATTTTCGGATATAAACCAAGTTGAATATTTCTCCTGTGATGCGGATGTGGCCGTCGTCATCGGTTTGTATCTCGAAGCTTCGTGTACCACCTGGGGGTGCTCGAGATGCTTGACAAGGAGCTGGAAACTTCAGACGCAACTCGGACGGAGCTCAAGCCATCTTTTTGGCGCTGTGGAGTTGGAGGTTGGGTCATTTTTGAGGCTATAGACGGCGGTGGGGAGACCTTCCCAGTCGTCGCGGCAATTGGTGAGGATGGCGCCGCATCAACAGTCCCGGCAGCATGTGATGGCCTCGTGAAGCCATGGTCTTGTGCCACCTGGACCTTAACATTTCCATGTCGGAGCTCCTTGTGTTTGTTATTGGGAGCTTGGATTTTGCCTTGCAGTAGTTGAACTGTGGCCTTGAGCGCATCAAGATCCCCACGACGTGTCAGCAGTTGCTGGAGCTGCTGCTGCAGCGACGCGTTCGCATCTTGAGCGTGTTGGTACTGCGCTCTCAGCTGCTGCAGCTGCGACTGGGCTTCCTGATACCTCCGCACTGCTCTTTGAAGCTCTTCCTCTCGTCGTGTCAACTTGTCGATCTGCAATGACAAAATCATTTCTTAGTACAGTACAAACACCTAGAAGCTCTTGTAATCTACCAGATACGACTGAGGTTGCTGGAAACTCGCTAGTTTAGTCTTCAGTCCGGTGACTTCATGCTGAAGTCTCGTCCGGTCGCTAGTCACTTCGTTCAGCTTTTGTTCGAGCGCAATCGTTTCTCGTTGAGACTTGACAACTTTCTGGGCAAGCAGCACACTCTGCTGAAACTAACAACAGATAAGCGATTAGTTGTTGTATGACACTTGTTCAGACTCACAGTAGCTTTTACCCGTCTTTTTGTCGTTGTCGGGATCGCACCAAACGTGGTCATGACCTCTTGCACCTTTACACTCCCATCTGCCTGGTTTCCTTTGTCTCCAACAGCAATCTCTCCAGTTTGGATCACGGCACCGTCCAAGTCGATTTCTAGTAATTCGTACTCCTTCAGCTTATTGCGCTGTTGTACGGTGCCACATACACATCAGCAAACAGCTAGATCGGACGCGTAGCTCAGTTTGATCTCACCTCCACTTCCAATGCAGCTTCTAGTTGGGTGATACGTGTAGTCGAAGTTGTCTCCAGTCTTGCGAATTCTTCTTTAAGCGCTTCCACCTGGACGTCCGAACCATTAATGTCAGGCACAAAATACGCAAAGTACTATTACGCATTCGACTTACTTTCTGAGTGAGCATTTCGATCTCCAGTCTGGCATTTCGAGCATCTCTAGCCTTCTCTTCCAGCGTCAACTTAAGCTGGCTTATCTGATGTCGCATTGAGGATCACATTAGTTCCAGCCTATAAAATCCACCTCATCATTTAATGTACCTCAAAATGCCTCATCTTGAGCTCGTTACGCGCAGTAGCCAGTGCTGTTGTATGCGTACTCTCCATCCGAGTCGCCTCCAGGACCTAAACGAAGGAATAACGGCACAAATTAAACACCATCAAGTGGTAATTGCCTCCTTTGTTAACTCACCTTTTCATCCAGCGCAGATTGCACGCTATCTAAACGCACTTGCAGCACCTCGACGTGCTTCAGAGCATCGTCACGCGCTTCTTTCAACAATCGATTCTCTCGCTCGTACACCACCTGGCCGTCGTTGCGGATCCGCTCGATCTCCCGTTTCGATAGCTCCATGAATTTGGCCATTTCATCGTCTAATTTCTTTTCGAAATGCAGTCGCGTCTCGTTCTGTAGCTGTGCGCTCTGGCTGAGGTTGTCATCATGTTTCTCCTGCAGTGAATTAATCTTCCCTTGCATTTCCTGCTGTGATACTCGCATATTTGCAACTTGATCTTCCAGTTGCGTCTTCGCATCCTGTAGAAACGCTTTATCTGCTGTCAAAAGCGCGATCTTCTGGTGTGAATCGCTGCTTGTAGCTGAGGCTTCATCGAACCGCGCCTTGAGATCGTCATGCTCACTCTGCAGAACCTGCAAGTCTCTCTTCAGACGGTCAGACTCCTTCTTTAGACCTCTTTGGTCGCTGTAAATCTCCTCGTTGCGTCGCTGTTCCTCCTTCATTCCGTCAACTTGGTCGACCAAAGCTTTGATCTGGTTCTCCAGTTCCTGTCGGGTTGCCTCGGATAGCTCTAGTTCATGTTGTAGTCGCCTCTCCTTTGCCTCAGCGATGCGTTGCACTTGTGCAATCTCATCTGAGGCACCAGCCGCGGCGGCTTTATCTGCGCTGCTGATCTTTTCCAAAGTTTCCACCTCCTGTCGACAGCGTTCTAGCTCCGATTCGAGCTTTCGCACCTTGGAATGAATGGACAATTGAATATACTCGCGGATGGACAGATCCTCCTCGTCCTGTCTAGAAAGCTGCTCAGCGAGAGCGTCTGAGATCTGGAGTGTAGCGAAATGCATTTTCTCCATCCTAAGTCGCGTTTGTGCAGCCTGTAGGTCAGCGTGAGCTTGTTTTAATGCCTTCTCAAGCCGATCAAGTTCCTCATCAGATTTTTGCTACACGCACAACAATGACACGAGTTAAGCACTACTATTCAAGCAGCACCACCTATTCTTACTCACAAACCTCCATCTCCGCTTCTTTCTCCTGCCACGCAGCTCGTTCTTGTTGCAACGTCTTCTCCAGCTCCTTCTGCGCTTGTACACTCAGCACCAACTGCGTCCTAATCTTGCCGACCTGGATCTCATAGAACTGCTTCATCACAACCTCTGACGTTGCGTTGTTGGTCCCCATAGCAACTACTTGCGGTAAAGTTTGCTGCAACCTGTTGGTTCTACCAGAAGGCAATTGGCCAGGTGATAACGCGGTCAAATGGTCATCAAAGCGCGAGATGCCGCGGCCAGTGGATAGCTGGTCGTAGTGGCCGAACGAATGCGGAAGCGATAGGTCGCTGGACAGCCCCTCACTGGCCGAGTCGGATGGAAGAGTTAGCGAGATCTCTCCAACGTCTTCCTCCCCTTCTTCTTCGTCTTCGTCGTGTGGCCCCTCGACGTCTATCTCCTCGTCCACCTGATGCTCATCGTCTGCTGCCTCGTGCACAGTCCTTTCAACGCGGGTTGACAAGGTCCCAGTGGCATCCGCTGCGTTTTCCGGTCCTAGCACGTGTCTGGAGACGCCCAGTTGCGCTGCTAGACGGCGGAAGCGCCGATCTTCGTCCGCCATCGAGGCGCTATGTGATCACGTCGCTTCAAGATCGCGATACCATTGTGGATAGTTTTGTGATGTGTAAAACGTTAAATATGATGGATTATAGTTGAAGTGGAAATAGATGCAACGAAACGACGCATGTCAAAAATGCTCGCTTCAAGTAAACTTCGCTATTATGCATGCTATTGTGGGCGTGTATTTCCTCCTCGACAAAATAGCGCGCAGTACACGCTGCTACGGCTTAAGAAACTCAAAGGTTTCAGTCGTCGAGTATTCATCACCATGAGCCGCTACACTCCACCACCGGTGCGTTGTTGTCTAGCTCAGCCACCCCGTCGATTGTCGTCGATGCACTGATAGTTTGAAATATTTTGTTGATGCTGCACTTAGCCGGCTGGCTGGGTGCCTCCGCCTCAGCGAGACACAACAGCGCTCTGCTTGACGTTTCCGCAGCGTCCTCGCACGCCCGAAGAAGTCGGACGTTATCGCAAGTCGTTCTTCTCCGAGCCAGGCGCTCGCATCGCCCACCCCGGACTGATTAATGATCTTAAGAGGGTCGACCCCATGACCAAGTTCGGGGTGGTTACCACAGGAAGTGAGCACGTACCAGAGATGCTCGTCAGCGGACCTGCCACGGAATACCAGCGCATTAATCTCGATAAACTCGAGTCCAACTACGCGAGTCACAAGCGAGAGCCACTGGGCAAATCGTTCTCTAGAGGCCACAAACTGCCAGCGCATATACAGAAGCCCGAGTTTGCGTTTGGTATGAAGGGAGCATTCTGTGAATCGGCCAAGGAGTTACTCTATCCGTCGACATCAGCTAGGCTATTAAATAGTCGGGAAGATGAAGAGCTGTACAAGAGATCGCACGGCTCGGTCGCTCCTGGAGAGCAAAAGAACCGCAACTACCGATGGGAAGCAGCGAAAATCGACCCAGCTAGGCATCGATTTGGTGTTAAGCCCATCGGTAGTAGTAATGGTCAGGTTGGCGGAGAGGTGGCTGTGGTCCTGAACCCTGAAATGAACGAGAGTATCATCCCTCCTGCGGTGGCACCACAGCACCTTGAAGATCGACGGACACTCTACGACCACCTGGGCAAGCCTAGACATTTGGGTGCCGCTGAGACCGACAATTTACCCAACAACCACGTGTTTGGAGTCGTAACACAAGATAGTGACTCTGCGTGGCTGTGTATCCAGGGCGAGTACTCACCAGCAGAGCAGCAACCCGATACGGATCTGGGCCGTGCAGTACATCATGGCTGGAGAAATGCCACTGCAGACAACCGGTTGTTTGGCATCCCAACGATTCGTAGTGATATCCCTGCACCTGCTCGACGATCCATTGCGGATGGACAGAACTATGGTGATGATGTTAGTGCACAGGCATTGCTCTACCCCGAAGAATTCGCTTCAAGTGGCGTGGCCAACGCAGAGTTTGCTGAACCGCGAGACCAGAAGTACCTACGAGGACTCTTCCAAAAGATCGGCCACGGAGTATCAGACGAAGACTTCGAGCTCATCTGGAAACAAGCCACACAGAGCGTGAGATACACACCAATTGGACTGACAAGTATCGCGGACTATCGCGATGCATTGAACGACTTCCTCGAGGCGCAGGGACGAGGTCCAGCAGCACTTCAGCAGTGGCACAATCGCGCCCAGGCCTTGTAGAGGATTCCTTTCGTATAACACAACTACTTCTTCTCATTACTCAGCGCCAGTTCTCTTTGTAATTTCCCGTCATTCTTAACTTGTTCGCAAGTCCATGGGAGGCGGTGCAACTACAGGTCCAAGGTCTCCACAAATGGTATTCACGCAAGCCCAATTGCCTTCAAAGTCGCTCTTCCACATACGCACAGTGCCATCGTCACCCGAAGACGCCAACATGGTACCAGTTACATTCCACTCGACACGCCAGACTTCCGAGTCATGATGATGCTTACGTGCCACTTCCTCCACATCTGCTTGTAAGTGATCATCCTCCTGGATCGTAAGGCGCCAAATACGCACAGTACGGTCCTTACTGGCCGTCGCCAGTAGATGGGACGAGCGCCCCATATTCGGAGCCCAGCACACGTCGTGGATCGCGTCTGTGTGACCCACGAGCTCAGCTACGACCTGCCACCTGCGGTACGAGTTGTTGTATCCCCATACTTTAGCCACCTCGC